GGTTTAAACCCTCCCTTGGTCCTCAAGTTTGTATGAAAATCTCAGTTGGGTCCTCAAGTTTTTTTCTGTCTCAATTGGGTCATATTTTTTGTAAAAATGAACAAATTTTACCCTAACCGTTAAATTGTAACAAACGGCGTTAGTTGGTGCTGACGTGTTGCATAATTAATGTGCTGATGTCAAAATATTTTATTACGTGGAATTTTTATTTAATTTGAGAGATTATGACATGGCGATCGTTCTCTTCTTCTCCTTCGTTTTGGTCTTCTATCCTGCGCAAAGATTCATCTCCTTCCTTTTGCTTTCTCTGTTGTGGGCGTTCCTTACCCTAAAAAAAATCACGATGCTGAGGACACTGCACCTTGCTCCTTGAGTTCTATCCCTCGGTGTCCACACCATTGGAAACAAGATCATTGCCTCCAGTCATAAATTTTTCAGTCTGGTTTCTTCTTTATTGAGTACTGTACATGTTTTGTAGCTTCAATCAAATTTTAACCTAGAGAATCTGTTTTTTATTTTATTTTTCTTTTTTTCTTAAATTGATTGATGTCCTGTCAATCAATTAATTTATATTAATAATAAGCTAAAGTATTATTGGCTGTCCTGTCAATAAGGGAGTAAGATGTTAAGCTCTTTTTATATTAATCTTAATAAATTCATGTGTTTTGTATTATTCATTTATTTATTTATTTTGAATTACATATTATTTTATTTAACTTATTTTTAATTATTATTTTTTATTTAATTTATCTTCAGTTACACATAGTTTTTTCTTATTTATTTTGTAATATATATCCGTTTACAACTGAACATGTTTACTTATTTTATTTAATTTTAGTTTTAATTTTACGGATCTTATTTATTTTATTTTTAATTATGTACTGACCGTATTTAATTATTTCTTTTAATTTATATTTAGTTATGAAATACTTTTGTTTATTTGTTTTATCTCTGCATTAGTAGTATTTATTTATTTCATTTAATTTATCTTTTTTATCTATCGATTATGTTTATTTATTTTATTTTAATTATCTTTGATTACTTATTGATCTATTAATTTATATTTTTATTATTATATTTGTTTATAATATTATAATCCATGTATATTTATTATTTTAAATTCTTACTTTGATATATTATATATCATTCTTTTTTCTAAATATTATTTTTTCAGTGAATATAATAAAAGAAAGTTACTTATATGTTTTATATAATTTATTGTATATCTTTTGCATTTGTTTAGATGAAATATATATTATTGATAAAGGTGTAAAAAAAGGTGTTATTCTTTTTCACTGTCAGGTTTTGCAGATGCTGCTACTGCAATATACAGCTCTGCATTAATGTCAATGAAAGGCTGTGAGAGAGAAAGAGAGAAACGACACAGGTTTGGCGTACGTGGTGAGGAAAATAAAAAGAAAGAAAAGTGAGAGGGGAATGATGAAGAAGACAACGATGGTCTCGGTGGCGGTTTGGGAACGCGAGGCGCACGTGATCTTGTTAAAATGGGCTCAGTAGAATCGGCGAGCTCCCCCGAGTCACGACGCGGCCTTTCACTTTCAGCCATTTTTGGTTTAAAATCTTGAACAGTTGCTTCAAACTGCTTGTGGTTCACACTTCTATGATCCGACGTCGTTTTCTTCAAACTCTTGATCAAAGTGGACCTCGCTGGCACCTCCAAAGGCGCTTGAAGCCTCACCGAAGAATGCTCGTCGTTTTCCATCGAAGAATGCACTTGAAGATGGAAAGACATATGGAGTGTGACAGTAGGCAATGGCGTGAGTGAGTGTTGGACTGCATCAGCATCAGAGAGAACCGCCCATAAAGAATAAAGTTGAGTCCGGTGTTGCCAATGGGGGAGGAAGCAGAGGGGGAGGGAGGAGAAGATCTGGTTTTAGTCAAAACATCACCACGTCATAAACGTTGCCATATCATAATTTCTCAAATTAAATAAAAATTCCACGTAATAAAAATTCCACGTAACTATGCAACACGTCAGCACCAACTAACGCCGTTTGTTACAATTTAACGGTTAGGGTAAAATGTGTTCATTTTTACAAAAAATATGACCCAATTGAGACAGAAAAAAACTTGAGGACCCAACTGAGATTTTCATACAAACTTGAGGACCAACGGAGGGTTTAAACCTAATATCAAACCTCTCTATTAATAAACTTCTAGACTGTGCATATTTTTTCATAATTGTATTATCCTCAAAGTCATAACCATGATAATAATAGTCAGTGTTTATTATAGCATGCCTCTGTAATTTTGAGTAAGAGACTTCATGTTGAAAGTCCATTACATAATTGCTCAAATACAGATACAATTCCTCTATCTGCAAGCATTTCCCTAACACTTTGTAAGCTTCAACAATTGTATTTTTTTTAATCACACATTTGTACAAATCCAAAAGTTTCAACTTTTTTAATCCCACAATCCCAACAGGCAAATCATCAAAAGAACAACCACGTAAGTCAAGAATCTCAAGTGCTTGCAGTTGTTCCACAACAGATATGTCACCTAAATCATAACCCCTCAAGCACAGTGTTTGAATAATTTTCAATGACTTCACTGATTCTGGCAAAGGAAAAATACCTCTATCCCACTCATCTAAATTTAAGATTGATAAGGTTTTAAGTTTTTCCAAGCTTTGAAGACACCCATCTAATACTTTTACGTCACCACTCACATTGAAAGAAAGCACAAGAATTTCAAGTATTGGACAATTTATTTTATAGTTGAGAACATCATAACTTTTCAAACCCCATATGGCTATTGCTTTCATATCTTTCAGGGTTTCATCATCTGCCAAAGCTCTTGGGTCCACTTTAGTACGTGTGAAAATTGCTTTACCAGTTTTAAACGCAATCCACAACGCTACATCACGAACCAAATTGTCCATTTTTACCTTGAGTTTTTCTTTTGCATGCATTAACAAAAAACAGTTCTTGAGCACGTCAATAGCTGCATCCATCTCTCTCCTTGCGTTCCCCATCGTTTCAAACGTTCCAATTGTGTCAAATGCCCTTCCAAATCGAAACAAATCTTCCAAAATTATTTCACAATCCTCTGGAAACATAGAACACAACAATAATAAGGATTGAGCTAATTGGTTTGTCAAATTATTGTAACTTAATTCAAGACAAACATAAGGACTTGTTAAGTCTTTTGGAATATCTAGTGGCTTAGAACTTTCTAGTCTTGATAATGCTGATTCAAAATTTGCAATAGTTTTATCCTTTAGCGTGCTTCCCAGAGTCACAATTGCAATGGGAAATCCCTTACATTCATTATCAATTTTTATTACAATTTTTCTTGCCACACCTTTCAAAGCTGCTGAGGAGTCATCATTTATGTTTGCATAATGTTTGAACAAAGTCCAAGCTTCCTCGTGAGTCAAAAGATTAAGTTCAATTATACTTTGGCATTTCATAGAAGGGCATACTTCTTTACTTCGAGTAGTTATCAATACGCAACAAGCCTTACTACTTTCATCAAGTGGAATACCTAAAGCTTCAAAGTTCAGTCTTTCCCATACATCATCCAAGATTACAAGAGTTGTACCTTTCCTTAATCTTTCTGATAGTCTTTGTGCTCTACCTATTTCCGATCCTTCCTTTAACTCAAAAGTCAATTGATCAGCAATCTGATCTTGGATACTTCTTATATTTGGAAGTCGAGACACTCTTGCGAAGACAACTTTCTCAAAGAGTTTCATGTCTTCAGCTTTTTTGCACACTTCTTTTGCCAAAGTAGTTTTCCCTGAGCCTCCTAATCTAACTAATCCAATTATGGAAGCACTTTTATTCATTAATGCTTCTAGAAGCTTCTTGTAAGATGCTTTTATAGGGTTTAACATAGAGAAATCATTGGAAGAAAAGTACTCCATGCCTAGAAGTTTAGTAATCCTCGAAAACTGTGTATACTCGCTATTAAAATCAATCATTTCAATTGTTTTTTTTTTCTATTTCTTTTGCAAGAGAATATTGACATTGCCTTCTGAAATAGCTTTTGTTCACACTCATTATTCTTTTTTCTAGCACTTGCACTTCTTCTAAGACTTTTTTAACATCTTTCAGCCACTTCACATCAGTTGACTCAACTTTTTCAACTTTATTGATGGCTTCTCTAATTTGCTCCTTCACTCTGTCTCGAGTCAATTCCAATTCTTCTTTGACATTTGAAAGATTCAAAGCAAAGTTGTTGAAACAACACAAGTATTGGGCATGACATAAAATTACATATCTTAGAATCGTTGCTGTGATCGATGAAGCCATTTGAATAGACACGTTCCTAAACATGAATGAGTTCACAACTCTTTAGTTAACTACAAAATAGTATCATGTATTCTAGCAAGAGATTATACAATTAAAAAATAAATTAATTAAAATTAGTTAACTACAAAATAGTATCATGTCATGTATTCTAGCAAAGAGATTATACAATTAAAAAATAAATAAATTAAAATTAGAACTGGGCATTAGTAACTAAACTATACTAAATTATAGTTACCTATATTTTTAATAAACTAATAGAACTGAACTATTTAATACAATATATAAACTGTATTGTATAAGAATTCAGTTAAAAAAAGTGAATTTATACCAATTAACTAATAACCAAATTCTTTCAAGACTATGAGTATCAGTCAGTTTTACAATACTCATTATTTTTCTGTTCAAATTTTCCACGGTCTTTATTGTAGATATTATATTTTGGGTTTTAAATATTATTTTTTGTTTTTGTCTTTAAGATAAATTATATATTTTTAGAATTTATACAAATCATATAAAATATTATTTCTATCATCTATTACGTGCAGAATATAACTTTTACATGCTATCTATTAAAAAAAATCACATTTAACAGAAATCATTTATCAGAAGTTAATATAATTTCAAGAACAAATCTAATCACTACAAAAATTTACAATTTTACCGGTGGTTATTTTTTTCGTTTCCGGCGGTTTTAACCCCCGGAAAGTACGTTACCCGCGGTTAGCAAAACCCATGGGAAAAGCAGCGTCGCTAAATAATTACCGGCGGTTTTTTGAAAAACCACCGGAATTAACGGGGGTTTTCGAAAACCGCTGGTATTAGCGGGGGTTTTCCGAAAACCGCCGGTATTAGCGGGGGTTTTTCAAAAACCGCCGGTATTAGCGGAGGTTTTTCGAAAACCGCCGGTATTAGCGGGGGTTTTGTGAAAACCGCCGGAACTAACCGATGTTAAGCAAAACCGCCGGTAATTGTGAGGGTTTCCCAAAACCGCCGGTAATTACTAAGTTTACATAGTTGGATTTCCAAAACCGCCGGAAATATAAATAATTTTTTTTTATTATTCAAATTATTTGATTATCATAAATAAACTAAAATTAAATAATATGAAACCAAAATAAAATGTAAACATTAAATATATACCAAAATATTATTATATAAATTATAAATATTAGAAATACAATTAATGTTTCCTAAAAATTAAAATAAACATGTTATGAATAATAATCATCAGTTTTGTACTTCTTCATCGTCTTCATCATTTGATACTTCTTCATCGTCTTCATTATTTGATACTTCTTCATTGTCTTCATCATTTGATACTTCTTCATCGTCTTCATCATTTGATACTTCTTCATCGTCTTCATCATTTGATACTTTTTTATCGTCTTTATTTGAAACACTTCTTTTTCAAATACCTATAATATAAAACAATAATTATTGATAATATATTAAAAAAATTATTAAATTATTGATAATTGAAAAATATTAAAATATGATATATTAGAAACTACATAACCAACTTAGAAAACATGTCATAACACTTTCAATATTAATTCAAATTAAGATACATTCATTAATAATAATAGGAAGTGAAGTGTCAACATTTTCCAAGGTGAAATGAAAAAAGAGTAAAAACCGAGTTCTTGAATCCTGGATAAATTAAAAAATATATTTGAAACAAAGTTAAATAGCCATAAATTTTCAGTAACAAAAACATTATCATACACTTAATTTAAGGCCAAAATTGAAAATCATAAATACATATGCTTTTACAACAAGTCTGCATTATGGAGAGACAGAAATATTAGAACAATATTAGTGGTAAAAGAAGGTAATAGGACTTGACAAAAGACTTTATTGAGAAAAGAATAACAAAAGACTAACTCACATTTAATAAAAATAAATAAATTTTTGAAGCTATTCTTGGAATAATTTTATCCATATTTCAATTTTAGTATTAAACTAATACGTGCATAATTAAAATTTTAATACTGCACATAAGTAATGATATCAGTCACTTCTTAACATTTTAATACGTGCATAATTAAATGTGAATCACACTTTTAAAGACTGAACGAACAATTTAATCAAACAAAAACTAAAAGAAGTCTGTTATGGCATATTGTAGTTTGATGATTTAGAATTGTGAGAAATAATATTTTGTTTATGGCTCATAAAACTAACCGAAGATCAAAGAAAGATTGTAGCTATCATATTGTTCTTAATTACAACAAAACAGTGATTATCATTCTCTGTTGTTCTATCATACATTAAAACAGGTTGCCATAGTAAAGAAGATTCAAGGTTTTTATTTACTATCCAAGAATGAGGAATTTTCAAAATCAAACAGATTATAATTTTGCAGACTATGAGACTGGGTGATATAATTAATAAGTAAAGCATTTGTAAAACAATACAGTAGGAAGTAAAAGTTTCTCATAGCTCTTTCTCTCATACTCCTCAAATTATTAATGAGCTAGATGTAGATGAAGTTCAAACCTTAAGATTAAGCTCGTTATACAGGGCCTTTACTTTAGCAACATTTTCTGGATCTGCACTCCCATAGTTGTCCTGCAAACCGCAAAAATTAGTGATTTAGTGCAGTGTTATCACAGGATAAATGCGGGATATATTAAGATGATCACTTACGTATAGAACTTTCTTTTGTTGCTCATTGGTAAGCTTCAAAGCTTTCGCAACTAACCAAGAGCATTTAAAATTTTTAATATCTGTACCTATCTGTACCTATCTGGTCCCATTAATTATCCAGGATTCTCACCTTTCCAATAGTATCAGGATCCCCAAAGCAATCCAAATAATCATCCTAAAATTAGAGGGGGAAGGGGAAGGGAAAAGATACGTCAAAATACGGTTTTTTATGAAATATTTTAAGCTGATAGTGAAAGTATACACTAGACAGACATCATTCTAGAGTCTAAATGGTCTTAAGAGAAGCGATCAAAACTATACTAGCAAAGTATTACCGGTACTTGAAAGTAGGTTCCCATCTCAACAAGAATGTTCTTCACATCAACATGGTTTTCCAGATTCTCACCCGCCATGAGCAATGCACATGTAACCTGTGTAAGAAGGAACTAGGAAAAGGCAGCAGTTATCTCTCTTCTGGTGTCAGCTTCCAGTCAGGTTTTACGGAATACACTTAATTGCACTCTATAGAAAGGACGTGATTTACTCTCTAGCAGAAGAATTTATACTTTTTTTTCTTATAGTTGTTTTAGTCACATTTACATATGATACATGATTTCATGTTTGTCAAAAAAGTGGTTAAGCAATGATAATTTCTCTCCAATTGTTCTCCTTGTTTTCCCGTACTCACAGAGTTAATGTGTATTTGGACAGGTCTTTTCTTCCTTGCAGTGTGGTAATTAGATCTATCATCTGTCCTGAAGCAGTCTGGAACTCAACCTAAAGGAAAAAAGCAAGATGGTCACATTTTAGTATATTGATTAGAATAGTCCCATATAATTTAAACTTTGACATTTGTACTACCTCATTAAACAAATCAAGAAGATCTACTTAATATGGCTTTCCCCTGAAATGGTTCTTAAGAATGCGTGGAATATGGTTTCTTAGTAAAACTCCATCATTTGTTGCAATTATCCCAATCTACACGATGCAATAACTAGAGATTAATAAATTATCAGTGATAATTACCTAATCAAAACAAGATGCCATCATCACAGTAAACTCTGAAACCATTAGAAGTTGTTTAATCATTTAAACAAGAAAAGCAAAAGCTTTCAACTTTCATATTGTAAAGTGGAAATTACAGGCTTCACCACATTGTTAAGTCTCACTATTTTGTTGAAAGAACTGAAGGTCTTTCATTTGTATTTCAACAGCTTCTTTTGATAGAGGCTTGAGTTCTGAAATAAAATCATCATCAACACCAGCTGCTACTTTCTCTGACTTGTCTTTCACAAGGCGCTTGATCACATCATGATGAACTTTTGGAAATTCATATGAACGTAAATGATTTACAACAAACAAAATTAGAAACATTAACAAATAATTTCTTAATGATTTGCATTAAACATCATCATCTTAAATCAAGTAAAATACTAATTCTGATTCCGTAAGGCCTCTGCATGATGAACCATAATGGAGGTACTCCTGCTTATTAGTTATACTAAACAGAATGGGAATAATCATAGCCGTAAACATCTTGAACCTACCTCTTCAGTAAGAGCCAAGTTAACATCATAAAAGGATTTTATTGTTCCAATGTCTTCCCAATAATCTCTGAAAATATACGACTGCAAAAACAACAAACATATAACTCTTTTAGTTCCATCATAGTTGTAATTAGAACTCTAATGTACAAGATCATTTTGAAAGGAGATATATTAATGGAATTTTCTCTTACTTGGCAAGCAGAGTTTACGCACGAAAAAAGTGAAGAGATTTATTGTGGTGGTTAATGGGAGTTCCCTGATTGTAGTTGAAGAACAGGGCATGAAGAAGTTGTTCTTGGATTTGCCACAAACCTGGAAGAGAAAGTGTAGAACTTGTAGTAATCTTCATCCATTAAGTTGCCACATCCAGTGGAATCAAAGTTCAAGGAATAACTCAACGGATCATAGCGGCATTGGAACGAACCTTGTCGACTCACACTTTTCGGTCGTAGTGTGCGCCCACGTCACTTCAGTTTCCTCATCAGTCTCATCACCAAACAACAACAGTGGCATGCTGACACCATGGATTCTGTTGCCATGGCAGTGTTGGTGGTGGCGCTTGTGGTGCTTCCAGATTCATTTTGCACCTTGGCACGCCCTCGAAGGTGCTGCCAACGAAGAACGAGAATGTCGTTGGAAACAAGTTTCTTCTCAAATCCCCAACCTCCTTCTCTGGTTTCCCTCCCAACCGGTTGGATAATCGGATAACTTCCTTCATGTAGGTCTCCACATCGGTGGCCAGCCTGTCCAGATCGAGGTCGATGGAGGGAGATGGTCGGTCCTCGAGCCACGTCACCTGCGAGACCAGGTAGGGTTTCGTGCGCACCACACTGTTCACTCAGAACCTTTCCTGGCCCTTACAGATGAGGAAAAAGTGGTCATCCATGAGGCTCTCATGCTTTATGACTTCGCCGACGCAGTCAACGACGGTAGTTCCGGAGACGGCATCCGTGTAGATGATGCCGAAGCGGAGTGTGTGCATCATGATGCAATAGGGGAACTCGAAGATCTGCAATGGGGGGATGGCGCCGAGGAAGAGCACTAGAGGGAGAGGGAAGAGAGGAAGCTCGACGACGTCATCGGAGTTGGGGGAGTTTGTGTGGTGCTTCTCGGAGAAGGAAGAGGAGCAGCGGAGAATGGAATTAAGCTTCAGGCAGCGGTGGCGGAGAGGTGCAGCGAAATGAAAATTGTGATTTGGGAGAAAATGAAGGCATAAGGGAAAAGAAGACAGTGGTTTGGGGAAAAAAAGCAGAAAGAATGAAGGCGCAAAAACATTATTTTAAAAATTAAAAATTATAAATGTTACGGGCGGTTTCTTTTAAATCGTCGGAAATTTTCCGAGGTTCTGAAAACCGCCGGAAAAAAACCTCTACTAAAATTAATAATTTTTGTAGTGAATTATTGGATTGTTTTATTTAAAAGTTTACTCTTACCTCAGGAAAATACTTTAGATTTATTTCAAATTTTATTAAATAAATAAAACTAAATAAATTTATAATATTTTCAATAAATAAATAATAAAAATTAACATATAATTCTAATAAATTTTATTTATTTTTGTTTTTTCTTTATGTTTTAATTCTTTTTCCTAATTTTCTTTATGTCTTTGACTGCAAGAACTTGTTGTTAACTTAGGTAGTTCTTGACCGAGTTGTGGGTGGTCCTCTTTGATTTTATAGGTAGATTAGATGTTTGGCTGAGTTGTGAGTGGTCGTCTTTGACCATGGATGTTGTCTTGAGTGCTTTGAATTGTTGACTTGGATAAGATCTGATGTCATTTATTTGAGCAAGCTTTGTGTGTGGTTTTGACTTAGGCAGACTAGGGTGTCGCCTGAATGGGCTTAACTTGTGTTACTGTCTAGGTAACTCGGGTGCCACGTTTGTGGACTTATGTTGTTGTCCAGGTAACTAGGATGTCATGTTTTTAGGTTTTTGTTACCATCTAGATAACTTGTTACCTTGTTTGAGGGTTTTACTTATGTTACTGTCTAAGTAACTTGGGGCCTCATTTGACGACTTTGCTTAGGTTACTATCATTCCCTTGAGCCTTCCATTGGGGATGAACCGTCATTCCCCTTAGACCTCAACTAGAGGCTTATGTTTCTAACATAAAACCCTAATGGAACACATGTCCAAAGCATACAATATCTCAGTTGAGAAGTGATTGACCTTGACAATGTGTCACTCGACGAATTTGGCATCGGTACAATAATAAGAACGAGTTTACCACTTATAATGCACTACAAAGAATTTATTTCTTATTAGCAATTTATTTTTAGCATTTATATTAAACTGCTAAAATATAAGAATGTTTATATCAATTATTTTAGTTGCCATAAATTTTATATTATTTAAATTCTATTATTTTAATTAGGTGTGAATGAGATTATTCCACTGACTTTGGTTATGGGGTTTCCTTCAAATAGGTTTGGGGCTTGGGAATTTCGGTGAGGGAATAAGATTTCTTATTTCATGCTACACACGGTGATTTCTTAGAGAAAACTGGGTTGATGAATTCAAAATAAGTTGATACACCTATTGATCCTAATACTAAACTTCTATCAAAACAGGAGGAGCCTATGTTAGGCCCCAAACAATATAGAAGACTAGTTGAAAAATTGAATTATTTTACAGTTACTTGTCCTGACATTTCCTTTACAGTTAGTATGGTAAACCAATTTCTTAATTCCTCGTGTGAAAATCATTGGAATGTAGTTATCCCTATATTAAAGTACATTAAAGATTTCTTGAAAAAGGGTTGTTATATGGTTCCAATAACCATACAAGAGTGGTTTGTTGTTCAAATATTGATTAGGCGAGAGCTCCTTCTGATAGAAGGTCTACATCCAGATATTGTGTCTCCATTGGAGGTAACTTGATCTATTGGAAAAACAATAAACAAAGTGTTGTGGAAAGATCTAATGTAGAAGCATAATATAGAGCTATAGTCACTTGTGAGTTTATTTGGCTTAAACAATTACTTAAAGAGTTACAATTTAGATGTGTCACTCAAATGACACTTATATACCTTTTTGAGGTGGGTCGAGCCAAGTTGGGCTAGGTAGCCCGTTTTGACAACACTATTAAATACCTTTAATAAATATATTTTTTTTATCTTTAGTTAGTTTGTTATTATTATTTATTTGTATTTTGGGCTTAGTCTATATTTCTTCTATTATAAATATGTTAGGTTTATCAAAGGAGGAGATTAATTCATTAGGGAGACACAACATTAATGCGACCTAAGTCCAACCATATAAGAAATTAACACCACTTTCAACTCAAAACCTTAAGGCAATGGGTCTTCACCTTTATACGGTGCTCCACTTTGGGACTTAGACTCACACATTCCTAACAAGTCTTCCCCTTAAGACTGAGTCACTTCTACATTGGTACACTCCCAAGCACGAGACTTTCGATAGGAAACCATATTATACTCATTTTAGCTGATCACTAAGACTAATCTGGGTCTCATACCACTATTAGGTTTATCAAGGGAGGAGTTCATTAGGGAGACACAACATTAATGAGAATTGAGTCCAATCACATAAGAAATTAATATCACTCTCATTTCTTTATATGANATTGCACTCTATAGAAAGGACGTGATTTACTCTCTAGCAGAAGAATTTATACTTTTTTTTCTTATAGTTGTTTTAGTCACATTTACATATGATACATGATTTCATGTTTGTCAAAAAAGTGGTTAAGCAATGATAATTTCTCTCCAATTGTTCTCCTTGTTTTCCCGTACTCACAGAGTTAATGTGTATTTGGACAGGTCTTTTCTTCCTTGCAGTGTGGTAATTAGATCTATCATCTGTCCTGAAGCAGTCTGGAACTCAACCTAAAGGAAAAAAGCAAGATGGTCACATTTTAGTATATTGATTAGAATAGTCCCATATAATTTAAACTTTGACATTTGTACTACCTCATTAAACAAATCAAGAAGATCTACTTAATATGGCTTTCCCGTGAAATGGTTCTTAAGAATGCGTGGAATATGGTTTCTTAGTAAAACTCCATCATTTGTTGCAATTATCCCAATCTACACGATGCAATAACTAGAGATTAATAAATTATCACAACATACTATTTTAAGACCCCTAAATGCCATCATCACAGTAAACTCTGAAACCATTAGAAGTTGTTTAATCATTTAAACAAGAAAAGCAAAAGCTTTCAACTATCATATTGTAAAGTGGAAATTACAGGCTTCACCACATTGTTAAGTCTCACTATTTTGTTGAAAGAACTGAAGGTCTTTCATTTGTATTTCAACAGCTTCTTTTGATAGAGGCTTGAGTTCTGAAATAAAATCATCATCAACACCAGCTGCTACTTTCTCTGACTTGTCTTTCACAAGGCGCTTGATCACATCACGATGAACTGTTGGAAATTCATATGAACGTAAATGATTTACAACAAACAAAATGAGAAACATTAACAAATAATTTCTTAATGATTTGCATTAAACATCATCATCTTAAATCAAGTAAAATACTAATTCTGATTCCGTAAGGCCTCTGCATGATGAACCATAATGGAGGTACTCCTGCTTATTAGTTATACTAAACAGAATGGGAATAATCATAGCCGTAAACATCTTGAACCTACCTCTTCAGTAAGAGCCAAGTTAACATCATAAAAGGATTTTATTGTTCCAATGTCTTCCCAATAATCTCTGAAAATATACGACTGCAAAAACAACAAACATATAACTCTTTTAGTTCCATCATAGTTGTAATTAGAACTCTAATGTACAAGATCATTTTGAAAGGAGATATATTAATGGAATTTTCTCTTACTTGGCAAGCAGAGTTTACGCACGAAAAAAGTGAAGAGATTTATTGTGGTGGTTAATGGGAGTTCCCTGATTGTAGTTGAAGAACAGGGCATGAAGAAGTTGTTCTTGGATTTGCCACAAACCTGGAAGAGAAAGTGTAGAACTTGTAGTAATCTTCATCCATTAAGTTGCCACATCCAGTGGAATCAAAGTTCAAGGAATAACTCAACGGATCATAGCGGCATTGGAACGAACCTTGTCGACTCACACTTTTCGGTCGTAGTGTGCGCCCACGTCTCTTCATTTTCCTCATCAGTTTCTTCACCAAACAACAACAGTGGCATGCTTACACCATGGATTTTGTTGCCATGGCAGTGTTGGTGGTGGCGCTTGTGGTGCTTCCAGATTCATTTTGCACCTTGGCACGCCCTCGAAGGTGCTGCCAACGAAGAACGAGAATGTCGTTGGAAACAAGTTTCTTCTCAAATCCCCAACCTCCTTCTCTGGTTTCCCTCCCAACCGGTTGGATAATCGGATAACTTCCTTCATGTAGGTCTCCACATCGGTTGCCAGCCTGTCCAGATCGAGGTCGATGGAGGGAGATGGTCGGTCCTCGAGCCACGTCACCTGCGAGACCAGGTAGGGTTTCGTGCGCACCACACTGTTCACTCAGAACCTTTCCTGGCCCTTACAGATGAGGAAAAAGTGGTCATCCATGAGGCTCTCATGCTTTATGACTTCGCCGACGCAGTCAACGGCGGTAGTTCCGGAGACGGCATCCGTGTAGATGATGCCGAAGCGGAGTGTGTGCATCATGATGCAATAGGGGAACTCGAAGATCTGCAAGGGGGGATGGCGCCGGGGAAGAGCACCAGAGGGAGAGGGAAGAGAGGAAGCTCGACGACGTCATCGGAGTTGGGGGAGTTTGTGTGGTGCTTCTCGGAGAAGGAAGAGGAGCAGCGGAGAATGGAATTAAGCTTCAGGCAGCGGTGGCGGAGAGGTGCAGCGAAATGAAAATTGTGATTTGGGAGAAAATGAAGGCATAAGGAAAAAGAAGATAGTGGTTTGGGAAAAAAAAAGCAGAAAGAATGAAGGCGCAAAAACATTATTTTAAAAATTAAAAATTATAAATGTTACGGGCGGTTTCTTTTAAATCGTCGGAAATTTTCCGAGGTTCTGAAAACCGCCGGAAAAAAACCTCTACTAAAATTAATAATTTTTGTAGTGAATTATTGGATTGTTTTATTTAAAAGTTTACTCTTACCTCAGGAAAATACTTTAGATTTATTTCAAATTTTATTAAATAAATAAAACTAAATAAATTTATAATATTTTCAATAAATAAATAATAAAAATTAACATATAATTCTAATAAATTTTATTTATTTTTGTTTTTTCTTTATGTTTTAATTCTTTTTCCTAATTTTCTTTATGTCTTTGACTGCAAGAACTTGTTGTTAACTTAGGTAGTTCTTGACCGAGTTGTGGGTGGTCCTCTTTGATTTTATAGGTAGATTAGATGTTTGGCTGAGTTGTGAGTGGTCGTCTTTGACCATGGATGTTGTCTTGAGTGCTTTGAATTGTTGACTTGGATAAGATCTGATGTCATTTATTTGAGCAAGCTTTGTGTGTGGTTTTGACTTAGGCAGACTAGGGTGTCGCCTGAATGGGCTTAACTTGTGTTACTGTCTAGGTAACTCGGGTGCCACGTTTGTGGACTTATGTTGTTGTCCAGGTAACTAGGATGTCATGTTTTTAGGTTTTTGTTACCATCTAGATAACTTGTTACCTTGTTTGAGGGTTTTACTTATGTTACTGTCTAAGTAACTTGGGGCCTCATTTGACGACTTTGCTTAGGTTACTATCATTCCCTTGAGCCTTCCATTGGGGATGAACCGTCATTCCCCTTAGACCTCAACTAGAGGCTTATGTTTCTAACATAAAACCCTAATGGAACACATGTCCAAAGCATACAATATCTCAGTTGAGAAGTGATTGACCTTGACAATGTGTCACTCGACGAATTTGGCATCGGTACAATAATAAGAACGAGTTTACCACTTATAATGCACTACAAAGAATTTATTTCTTATTAGCAATTTATTTTTAGCATTTATATTAAACTGCTAAAATATAAGAATGTTTATATCAATTATTTTAGTTGCCATAAATTTTATATTATTTAAATTCTATTATTTTAATTAGGTGTGAATGAGATTATTCCACTGACTTTGGTTATGGGGTTTCCTTCAAATAGGTTTGGGGCTTGGGAATTTCGGTGAGGGAATAAGATTTCTTATTTCATGCTACACACGGTGATTTCTTAGAGAAAACTGGGTTGATGAATTCAAAATAAGTTGATACACCTATTGATCCTAATACTAAACTTCTATCAAAACAGGAGGAGCCTATGTTAGGCCCCAAACAATATAGAAGACTAGTTGAAAAATTGAATTATTTTACAGTTACTTGTCCTGACATTTCCTTTACAGTTAGTATGGTAAACCAATTTCTTAATTCCTCGTGTGAAAATCATTGGAATGTAGTTATCCCTATATTAAAGTACATTAAAGATTTCTTGAAAAAGGGTTGTTATATGGTTCCAATAACCATACAAGAGTGGTTTGTTGTTCAAATATTGATTAGGCGAGAGCTCCTTCTGATAGAAGGTCTACATCCAGATATTGTGTCTCCATTGGAGGTAACTTGATCTATTGGAAAAACAATAAACAAAGTGTTGTGGAAAGATCTAATGTAGAAGCATAATATAGAGCTATAGTCACTTGTGAGTTTATTTGGCTTAAACAATTACTTAAAGAGTTACAATTTAGATGTGTCACTCAAATGACACTTATATACCTTTTTGAGGTGGGTCGAGCCAAGTTGGGCTAGGTAGCCCGTTTTGACAACACTATTAAATACCTTTAATAAATATATTTTTTTTATCTTTAGTTAGTTTGTTATTATTATTTATTTGTATTTTGGGCTTAGTCTATATTTCTTCTATTATAAATATGTTAGGTTTATCAAAGGAGGAGATTAATTCATTAGGGAGACACAACATTAATGCGACCTAAGTCCAACCATATAAGAAATTAACACCACTTTCAACTCAAAACCTTAAGGCAATGGGTCTTCACCTTTATACGGTGCTCCACTTTGGGACTTAGACTCACACATTCCTAACAAGTCTTCCCCTTAAGACTGAGTCACTTCTACATTGGTACACTCCCAAGCACGAGACTTTCGATAGGAAACCATATTATACTCATTTTAGCTGATCACTAAGACTAATCTGGGTCTCATACCACTATTAGGTTTATCAAGGGAGGAGTTCATTAGGGAGACACAACATTAATGAGAATTGAGTCCAATCACATAAGAAATTAATATCACTCTCATTTCTTTATATGATGCTCCACTTTCTCAGTTCTACTGAATGTGAGGCTTAAACTCACACTTGGATTTCCAACAAATTTTCACCTTAAGATTTAAGTTTATGAGGAAATTTTGTTATGATAAACTTAAATCTAAGGGGTTTATTAGTAATTTTGTTTGAGTCTTATTTTATTAGTTTGGGTTTAGTAATATTTAGTTTGATTTTGAAATAAAACAGTGATAGGTAATTTTGATTTTCCAATTATTTAGGTGTAGTACAATATTATTTTAATTGATTGATATAAAATAGAGATAGATTAATTAGTTGTTTTTTTTTTGTACTTGACACAAGAACGTGTTTGCATCTATTTAATTGCGGTCAAGATTCAATGAAAATTGAAAAGTTATGTCCTAACGTATGTGTCACGTTTATTTTCTACAAAATACACCCTATGTCCATATTAATACAAGATTTTTGCTATATTGGATTCTATTATTTTCATTATTATTTGGTTCAATGATTACTGGTATGGTTATACGTGTGTATATATTTTTTTCTTTTTTTATTTCTTAGGTAGTAAAATTGTATAGAATTGTTACCATTTTGGTTGATTAAAATGCTAGAATTTTTGGATTTCCGTTATTACCATTTTGATTGAAGTGAATACCATAATTTTAGCTAAAACCTTCTAAAATGACTAGATGATATGAGTGTTTTGCTACATATAAGGTACCCAAGCAGCAACTTAATGCAGAATCAGGGAACATCCTTTAGTACAAATGGAAAAAGTCCCTAATTTATATCCGGTACTACTTTTAGTGCAACATTTAACTAATTATAATAAAAACCAACCAATTTATCATGATAATTTATTATTAAATAATTATATAAAAGTGTCGTATTCTTCCAATATTGCCTATTTTTTCGGATACACGATTGAGGAATTATTGTCTCTCACTGTCACATTCTGATATATCTTAACATGGTTTGACAAAATTTGCAAAACAATACAAATAAGAAAAGATAACCACTTAAGCATTGTTTAGATAATATTTTTAATAAACACTTACAGAAGAAATGAATAAGAAGCCATAACGAGTTAAAGTTTTTTACAAGTTAGAATCGAATTTTGTAATTTGTATGTGTTATAATTCGGAGAGGATTATTCATTGAGATCAAGTAGTATGGAAACTTGTTTATAGGAAAGCTATTCAAAGCAAATTGAGAAACGTATACCTCAAGATTTGTGCAGACAAAATCGGAAGAAGAAGAAAAAGAATTTAGGAGAAACCTTGCTACGAAACAGAATTTTAAAGAAAGAAAAAAATAATTAAG